TGTAAACAGGGTCACAAAATTTTTGCAAAATGCCACCATTATTTATTACGTATGACTATTTGAGATTTCGCTACAGATTTAAGCAAGGATCATGGAAGCTGACACAGATGACCTGCTCTCGCGGGCCACAAAAAAGGACGTGGCGGGCCGTATCTGGCCCCCGGGCCTTGTCTTTGATAGGTATGCCAAAAAGCCTTGAGTTTGACACCCGTGTCTTCAAGATTTAAACTGTCTGAACTTTGAATGGTATGTATATATACTTGGATACCTCAGTTTATATTTTGCTAGCTGCTGTCAACAATTAGATCTTTATTTTAGCTTTTGAAGCAAGCTGAAATGTCAGCAGAAAAAAAAAGAATCCACAATGGGCCGCTCTGTACTATTTAACATAATGTTTGAATATGACTGGTCAATTTTAAACATCGGCACGCTGGATCAGACTAAACGTTGTTTCAATTCAATTTGAAGTGAGCTTTTTTTTTAACTCTCTTTGCAAACTACAACTTGTTTTCAAATAAACGAAATACTTTTTTTCCTCCTTCAGTTTAGAGGGGGCTGCCAACTGTCATTAAAGGCTCAAAGTGACAGGTTGTTGTTTAACTGATGATGTTGACACTTAACTTACTTTTTTTAAAATACAGTTTGAAGTGTTTTCATGAAGGATAATTCAGATAAGTTTGCGATAAATGCAACCATGTGGAGAGAGATGAGCAATTCAAACCTCAGCATAGACGCGGCTCTCAAAGGCCCAACCATTTATTGGGATATCTTCCTGTTTGTGCTGCAGTTGGTAACCCTTGGCCACTCGGATCATCTGCTCAACCAGGTCAAGACCGGTAATACACTCTGTTATGGGATGTTCAACCTAGAGACCAAAGTTAAGACAAGAGTGGTTAAACTACTGTATTTTCTGCACTATAAGGCACGTTGTAGTATAAGGCGCACCTTCAATGAATGGCCTATTTTGAAACGGTTTTCATATATTGGCCGTACCGCATTATAAGGTGCATAGAATGAATTGAAGCTACAACAGTGGCTGCGTTTGTGTTATGCATCCACGAGATGGAGCTCCACTAAAGGGAATGCAACATAATACTGCTTTTTTTGTATAGAGCCTTCACAACTGCTGCAGCTGTAACAAAGCACTTTTCAGAACATTTACAATACTTCATCCAAGAAATCAGAATGGCGCACTGATGGCTTTTGACAAAATTGAATGCTTTTAGGTGTGTTTTATGGTGCGGAAAGTATGGTAACTAGGATCGTAGAGCGTGAAATAGAAACTGAGGCCATTCCAGACTACGAAAAACTGAGAAAGGTTTCAGTGCCGGTTTTTAACAATAAAAAGAACAACAATAAAAAGGTGATGAAGACATAATAAAGCCAAGAGTGTTGGTGTTTTTGTGAGCATACCCATAACATCTAACTCATGTCATTATTGTCATGTGTCCCTGATCCAGATGTATCGTAAATACCTGCAAGAAAAAGATCAAACTGCTGATCTCCTTTCTCATATTACTGTTAACAAGCCCAAATATGTTTGGGTTACAGCAAAAATAAAGGAATTGCTGCTCCCAAAGTATTGCAACAGATTCCGTAACTTTTGCCTTGTTTCATGAAAAATGCTGCTGATCCCAACATCATCCCAATTATAAAAGTGAGTGCGACATACCCCTCACATTTTTTGTAAACATTTCATTGTATGTTTTTCATTGGAGAACACTGAAAAAAAAATGACACTTTGCTGCCATGTACAGCAGTCGCTGTGCATGGCTTATGACACCGAGAATTTACAGTACAATCCCTTCAAGATAACTCAGCACAGTTATAAATCCCGAAACCGCTGGCAACAAATATGAGGACATCATTATGTGAATTGAAAATCTTCGTAAAGATGGCCTCTGCTATCAGATTACCAATTCTCTGAGCTGCAGAAATGCGGCCAAGACCATTTAGAGATTTGGTGGCGGTAGCAGCTTATGTGTAAAAACTTTTGAGCTTTCGAACCAGACGGTTCCTGTTCAAGTCCCTCTGAGGACAAAGAAATTAGCGGGGGAAAAGGCAACTCATTGTTGGAGAGATACTAGTCTGCTCCCAGACTGCTTCTTCTCTTGTGTCTTAAAATGTGCGGATTCAGTTCGATTTCAAAACAAAACATGTCGAATAAAAACAAACGGAATGCACATGAATGAATTTCGACACCCATATGCCACGGACCTGCAACCGTGTGTTCATCTCCAAGAAGTAGAAGTTCTTCGAAGAATCGACTAGGAACTCGACTGTACCAGCAGAAGAGTACTGCACTGCCTTTGCAAGCTGAACTGCTTGCTCACCCATCGCTCGTCTTGTCTCAGAGTCCAGGAAAGTACTACAAGAGTCAAAGTTGCAGAATAAGAACATGTATTTCTGTCGAACATTAAAGTACTCATTGAGAACACTTTGAAAGCCCCTGTGAAGTGTCCAATCAGCAGAAAATGAGACTTTAACCCCAACTATTCACTGTTTGAAGACAGGATGCTGTTTGTGCTGACAAAGCAAAACAATCCCTAAA